TCTTCCATAGAGTGGGTTGAGAAAGGTGGATTTCTTTGTGTCTTTCAACTAAATGAGCTTTCTAAATTTCCTGGCAGAAGAATTTTTGTTTGACGAAGGAGCAGTCTGACTTACAAAGTCTTCTCTCTGCAGGGCAGGGATAAAATAAACTCGGAAGGGTCATGAAAGAGATCACTGAACCAGAGCTGACTCTGAGGGCTTTGGCTTCTGAAGAAATCCTCCCTATCCTGAGTGGTCTGTGTTATTGCCTTTCTGTCTTTTAAGCTGGTTTATCTTACTATGACTCATCTTTTCAGAAACAATCCTTTCCTCACTCAAAGGAGCTCAGAGAGCAGAGTTTTTCAAATGATGACCCAAAAAACTGAGTAAGAGGATAGATATCTTTGACTTACCCTGGGAAGAAGATTTTATTTTAAAACAAACCACGTAGAAACTTTATCCTATCACAAATACCATACTGACTCCATCACAGAACTAATTAGCATGGGTTTGTTTATTTATTTATTTACTTATTTATTTATTTAAAGTATTACAGATGTTTCTCTTTTTCCCCATTGACACCCTCCTCCCCACTCTCACCCCCCTTCTGCCTTCCCCAACCTAATGTCTGTGTCCATTGGCTGTGCATATATGCATATAAGTTCTTTGATTTATCTCCTCCTCCCCCCCGAGGTGTGTCAGTCTGTTCCCTACTTCCATGACTCTGGATCTCTTTTGGTCAACAGCTTATTTTGTTCATTATGTTCCACAAATAAGTGAGATCATGTGGTACTTGTCTTTCTCTGACTGGCTTCTTTCACTTAGCCTAATACTGTCCAGGTTACTCATGTCATCTCAAAGGGTAAGAGATCTCTCTTTCTTACAGCTGCATAGTGTTCCATTGTTACCATGTTTTTTTTAATTGCTTGGTCCTTACTGCTCATTCCTTGATAGCTCTCTGTGAGTTTTATTATTTATTTTATTTTTTTTATCCTCACCCGAGGACATTTTTCCACTTTTTGTTCAGATAGAGCGGGAGGGGGAGAGAGAGAGAGAGAGAGAGAGAAACATCGATGTGAAGGGACACATCGAGTGGCTGCCACCCGCACGACCAACCAGGGCCTGGGACAAACTGCAACCGAAGTACGTGCCCTTAGCGGGAACCGAACCCGGGTCTCTCTGTACCGCAGGCCAACGCTCCAACTGCTGAGCCAAACCGGCCAGGGCTCTCTGTGAGTTTTATGTCCCCTGTCAGTGTCTCTGATGAGAGTTACATTGCTTGGATCCCCTGGCTGATCAGTATTTTTTGATTACCCTATAGTCATTGCTAAATGACATGCTCAACCTTAAAACAGGAAGAAAAAGCAATATTTTTCTGCTCCACTTAAAAATATATTTTTGTAAATATTCTGCTCACATCTTTAGAGCAGGAAAGAGACCAGATATAGACAGTGGATATGTCTTATCTGGAGGGAAAACAGGGCGTAAGCTGATAAATATCTTGGGACATGATGAAACCCAGAGGCAACTTCCTGGGCCATCATTAATTTATTTAAAAAATCTAGTAATATATGACTTATCAGATAGATTTATGTTCAGTTGAAAACCAAGTTATTTTGAGCAATGAGAACTCTTAAATTGTAGTGGTGCAGAGTAAACTTTCGGCCTATCAGTTATCAGTGGATGTCTCCCTAAGTTTCAGGGACAATGATTTTCAGAGGTGACAGGATTAAAGAGAAACCTTTTATGATGTCATACAGGAAATAGACTACAGAGGGCCTAGCACATATAGGAGCTCAATAAATTTGTTTTATTTTTAAAAATTTATTTATTAGACAAACACATTGCCTTACAACTATTTACTCATGTTTCTTTCTCTTCCTGCTTTGAGGCTGAGTGTTCTATTTAGCAGAGACCATAAGTGAGAACTAGTGAGCTGCCCAGAGTGGCTAGGGTGGCCCTGGGCACTGCTGACCCATCTGTTTGGGTTGACATAGTCCCTAAGAGTTAATTAATTTCAGCCTCTGGACTCTGTTCAGGCAGGAGTGTCTGCTACCATTACCTCATCTGTCCTTCACAACAACCCTGCTGGCGCCTCCTTTCTCCAACTTGTGTGCTCTTCTATCTTCCTGCTGCTCTGAGGCTGAACCAGATGAAACTGCTGATCTTTGGTTATTGTTGTTAATCCTCACTTAAGGATACTTTTTCATTGATTTTTTTAGATAGAGTGGAAGGGAGGAAGGAGGAAGGGGTGGGGGGGGGGAGAGAGAGAGATCTATATGAAAGAGGCACATTGATTGATTGCCTCCAGCACGACCCCAACCAGGGCCGGGGATCAAACCTGCAACCCAGGTAGGTGCCCTTGGCTAGAATCAAACCCGTGACCCTTGGTCCGAGGGCCGATGCTCTAACAACTGAGCCAAACCGGCCAAGGTTCAACTGTTTTTGACTTATAAAAATGACAATTTCATGCAATTCAACCTAATATTGCCTACGTTTTAAAGAAGAGAAATGGCCCTGGCTGGTTTGGCTCAGCAGTTAGAGCTTTGGCCCGTGGACCAGAGAGTCCCAGGTACGTTTCCTGCTAAGGGTATGTACCTCTGTTGCAGTTTGTTCCCGGCCCTGGTTGGGGTTGTGTGGGTGGCAACCAGTGGCTGTGTCTCTCTCACATTGATGTTTCTCTTTGTCTCTTCCTCCCTCTCTCCCTCCTGCTCTATCTGAAGATGAATGCAAAAACGTCCTCAGGTGAGGATTTTAAAAAAATTAAAAATAAATAAATAATAAGAGGATGTTTGCACTGGTTAAGTAATTGGCCCTAGATTCTCTGAGGTAGTCAGTCAATAGCAGTAGCTGCTTCAAAATTCATTTAGCCTCCTTCTGAATTTCTTAGTGTATATGGTACTATTAACCAACTATTAAGACCATGGACCCAAGAACCAGTCGCTTGGGTTTGGATATCAGATCACCAACTTACTAGCCTGTGACTTTGGGATAAAGACTTCTCTGGAGCATTTTAGATCTTGCTTCCAGGCATATATCAGTTTAATTTTTAAAAACTCATAAAAAGAAAAAAAGATACTTGGCCAGGTAGCTCAGTTGGTTGGAGCATCATCTTGATATGCCAAGGTATTGGGTTCAGTCCCTAGTAAGTGCACATATAAGAATCAACCAATGAATGTATGAATAAGTGGAACAACAAATAGATGTTTCTCTCTCTCTCTCTTTCTCCCTGCTTCTCCTCTTTCCTCTCTCTCTCTAAATGTCAATAATAATAATAATAAAAGACATTTCCTCTTTGTACTTCAGTTTTCTCATCTGTAAAATGAAGATGATGATAATGATGCAGTTTTGTTCAGTTTGTAGGGTTGCCTTGACAACTAAATGAAGAAATTCAAGTACAGATTTTAGACCGTGCCTGACACTTCCGAAATGCTCTATAAATGCAGCTATCATTATTTCAGGCTTCCTTTAATATATCCTTCCTGCTTGAGTCAATCTACCAACACACACAACTCCTTTGACTGCTAATATAACGCCACAGACCCAAGAAACTTGTAAAAGACCTTACTCGAATGCCAAGTAGGTAGGAGATGGAGGATAAACCTCAGGGCTGAGCGCCTCTCTCAATTTCTCAAGCCACACCACTGGACCCGGAGCTGCAGTTCAGGCTGCACTATTAGATCGTTTCCTTTTCTTTATCTTTTAAAGAGGGGAGCAGGGGCTGGTCCTTCTAAGGAGTATGGCCGTGCTTTATCATTCTTCATACCAAGCCCCAAACCTCCAGACCAGGGAAGTGCCGCGTGACCACAGGAGGCCACAGGCAATTCTTGTAAACAGTCCCTCAATCAATCCCGGCGGGGGCGCGGGAAATTCCACCTGGTTAAAAGTCTAGGAAGCAGGGTCAAGTTCACCCCGTGAGGGCTGGGGTGAGGAAATCCCCATCACCCCCGTCCCTGAAACCTCTTCAGTTCAAAGTCATTTGTCTAAAGAGAACTCGGGCGTATTAGGGCTTGCTTTAGGGCTGTTCTCCGGGAGCACAGCCTGTACGATTTGGATTAAAATAGTCTAGAAGCTACACGCATCCATCCCGGAGACACCTGAGCGCGGGGCCCCCAGGGTATCGCCCGGGTTGCGCACCTGCCGTCTGCGGGCACCTGCGGTGGCCACGGTCAGCGCCCCCTGCGGCCCCTTTAAGGGCGGGCCCAGGCCCACGTGACTCGTGACGCCAGAGCAGGAAGTGTTTGAGGAAGTGGCGCTCGGCTCCCGGGTGTCAGATTCCCGCACTTTAATGTCTTCGGGGTGGTACCAGAGCCCCTAGTTTTTCCGCCCCAGCCCCCTCATCCCCCGCCCCGTGTCCCCGCCGACAGGTGAGTCCTCGGGCGGGCGTGGGCCACGGGGTGCTGGGGCCCCGGTGCCACCTGCCAACCCCTAGTCCCCTCTGCCCAGGCAGGCTTGTATCTCCCGCCTCACTTGAGGCTCCTGAAGACACTTCTGTCTAGTTTAAAGGTGGGGGGCTGGGGGATCCCGGCGTGGAAGCGTTTCTCTTGTGCAGTTGGAGTGCGGAGGCCCAGAACAGCCCAGGCCGGGCGGTTCCAGGTGGCGGCTTCCAGGTGGGTGGCTTTGGGAGAGAGCAGTGATTCATTCGAACTGTGTGAAGACACACGTGACCGTGGGGAAACTCAAACAGATTCTGCTCCTGCAACCTTGGGCAGAGTGGCAGGGCGGGGCGCCCCTCGCTGAAGTCCAGGCTGGGGATCCCTTTTCCAGGTCATGGGGTGTGTGGCATCCTCTCCTTCGAGTGACTTTCCTCCCTGCTTGCATACACAGTGGCTGAGGTGGGGGTGGGGGAAAGTAAGAAAGACAAAAGTTTGTTACCCAAACCAAAGTACACACCAAACTTTCATTTCATACAAAATGAAAACCAGCTCTGAAGGGCAATGGTATCTCTCACCTTCTCCATCTTTTGAGTTCCATTTTTTCTCAACCTTAACCTTTTGTCCCCCACCCCAAATTGCTTACAGAGTTAGCACGGCATCAGTATGAGCTGGTCACCCTCCCTGCCAACCCAGACATGTGGGGCCTGGGAGATGAAAGAACGACTTGGGACGGGGGGATTTGGAAACGTCATCCGATGGCACAATCAGGTAGGGGCTCTGTGCAGCTGGGAAGGGCTATGGGCAGGCAGGGGTGGGGGCTGTGGAAGGTAGGCCCCCCTCTCACTGACTGTACCCCACAATGTGCTAGATGGGCGAATGTGGCTCACCTTTGCCATGGGCTTCTTGGGAGAGAGTGGAAAGGGGGACTGAGAAGGGGAGTTCCAGGGCCGCAAAGCTGGCAGTAGGCTAGTGGCCTCCAAGCTTATTGACTATGCCACCTAAATAAATAGGAAAACAATTTTAAGCTTTCAGCCTCAATTATATATTTTAAAATTATATACCTATGCTAACACTAGACTATCATATACTAAATATATTGTGTACTAATATATCATGTTATAAAACATACAAATACAAAAGTTTTAAAGATAAGAATGAAATATTTTTAAATGTCTTCCTAGTTTTTGCAGTACTTCACAGTACAACATACACAGGTGCTCATGAAAGAGAATTATTGTTAAGGAACTTGGATGAAAATCCATATTTTAGCCCTGGCTGGTTTGGCTCAGCGGTTGGAGCATCGGCCTGCGGTCCTGAGAGACCCGGGTTCGGTTCCCGCTAAGGGCACGTACCTCGGTTGCAGTTTGTCCCTGGCCCTGTGCGGGTGGCAGCCACTCGATGTGTTCCTTTCACATCGATGTTTCTCTCTCTCTCTCTGTTCCTCTCTCTCCCTCCCACTCTACCTGAACAAAAAATGGAAAAATGTCCTCGGGTGAGGATTAAAAAAAAAAAAAAAAAAAAAAGAAAATCCATATTTTAAGTAATTTTTATATTTGAATTATTTGGACTGATTTTTAATCCTCACTCGAGGGCATTTTTGCATTTATCTTCAGATAGAGCAGGAGGGAGAGAAAGAGGGAGAGAGAGAGAAACATCAACAAGAGAGAGAAACATCACGAGAGAGAGAGAGAGAGAGAGAGAGAGAGACATCAACATGAGAGAGACACATCGAGTGGTTGCCTCCCACACGACCCCAACTGGGGCTGGGGACAAACTACAACCGAGGTCCATGCCCTTAGTGGGAAGGGGACTTGGTATCTCTGCTCCGCAGGCTGATGCTCTAACCGCTGAGCCAAACAGGCCAGGGCTGGACTGATTTCTTTTTTAGGTCCCATTAGCGCTTCGTTGTTTTTGCTTCTTATGTGTCTGACGGGTTTCTCACACTAGAAGTGTTCTTCCATCTTTTTGTTTGCTTGTACAGGTGTTACATGTACTGAAATTCTCTGTAGGAATCTTTTTAAGCCACTCAACCATTTTATGAGAGTTATTAAAAATTATAGAATACAACTCATAATTTTAACTAAGCAGAGCACATGTAACCTGCAGCTTGTTCCCATAGGCCCTTGCCCACCCCTGCCTGTGAAATGCTCTTCTTCCTCTGGATGCCTCGAGTACCAAAAGTGGCAAGGGGCCTTTTGACAGAAGATCTGAGGAGAGTGCCACATAGTTAATATGAGTAAAACTTAATTTCTTTGGATTCCAGTTTTGGGTAACCCCTGGGGTCCATATACCCCATTTGGAGACCTCTGCTTTAGGGAATCCTCACTCACCAAAAAGCTAAATTAGCTTCCTGATCCAAAATTCAGACCCACTGAAGTCTTTGAAGGAAGGCACCTACCTTTCAGTCCAGGGCTGCTGCCCCTTTCTGGACTGAAGGAATGGCAGATTGTGTTCCACTTCCCAGGAGCCTGGCTGCAGCAAGCAGGGAGAGTCGTCGAAGCTACTGGCTCTGCACTACAGGAACATTCTCACACCCACTGGTAAACTAGGGTTCCAGCAAACCCTGTACCTGGCTGAGCAGGCTAACTTAGTAACACCACTGGTTGAAATTTATTCTGGTCAGAGTAAAGCCAGGGGCTTAGCATTTGCAACAGAAGCGCCAGATCGCTCTGTAGCACCAACATACCTGGACTGCGCTGCTTCTAGACCAGCCTGGGCTTTTAGAGTCTTGACTATGGCAAACATCTTGCTGCAGCTGAACTAGAGACATCTTGGTTTCCTTCAAAAGAGTTTTGTCCAAATGTACCACTTGTCTGTCAGCTCTAGCTCAAAATGCCCCCCAATCTGCTCTCTGTATTTGGAAAACTATTGTCAGATTAAATTTTATTTCTGGCTTCATTTATATGGGTCTAATAATGTGTGTATGTATATGTGTATGTGTGTGGATTCTCTTCTAGAATTACTATTTTTAAGTTCCTTCCTTTGTTCAAAAATCTTAACTTGTTTTTTCTAAGCCAACAGCTAAACTCCTCCTCATCCTGCTGTTTGAGGCCTGTCCGCAGTCTGGCCTCTCCCTGTCTTTCTGGCCTTACCGCCCGTTGTTGGTTTCCAGCAGATTTGTTGGCTTAGCCCTCTATGGGACAAGTCTCTCTTCCCTAGACAGCTTTATATAAATTCTACCCGTTCTTCCAGGATCAGCTCTGGATCATCTCTTCCGTAAATCCATCGTAGACTCCTTCATTCTGTGGGAATTTTGAATTCCTTCGGGTCTGCTCATTTGGCATGCCTCATATAATGTCTTTTTTGTCTATGTGTAGGAGTGTGTCTTGTCAAGGCTCCAAGTTCCTGATCAGCCAGGGTTCTGTGTGGCTTTGGGTTTCTTTCGAGTCCCCCGTAGCAACTATCTTTATGTTATACATGTGTTAGGTGCACAAACTCATTCATTCAGTCAGTCCATAAATATTGTCTATTATGGATACAGTGGTGATTAAAACCCTTTTGGTTTTTGATAAACACCCTTTTGGAAAAGGGAAAGAGCCATTAATCGATAATTATAAATGTAAACCCCAACTATGATAAGTATGACATGGGAGAGGGACCCAGGATACCAGGGGTCAGGGGAGGCTTTCCCCAGGAAGTGCACTCCAGCAGAGATCTGAGGGATTGATTGACGTTATTTGGGCAGAGAATGTGGGAAGAGTTCCAGGCAGAGGGAGTGGCCTGTTCAGAGCCACCGTGTGGAGCGGTAGGTCAAGGCAAGTGTGACTAGAAGGAAGGATGACAGGGAACCAGGTGCCAGGGAGGCTGAAGTGCAGAAGGTGAGAATCAGACACTGCTGAGGAGGTTTTGCTTTGATCCAAAAGGCAACAGGAAGCTGTTGAAAGGGGTCCACTCTGACTTCAGGGACAGATTGGAACGGCTGGGCCCAAGCAGTGTGCTGGGAAATCAGCTGTCCAGAAAAAAAAAATGCCCTGATTTCCGGAGTAACTATTTCCACCATGGCTCCTTTCAAGCCACTGACAGTTTAACAGCCAGTTCTCACTGAATTCCTAAATATTTAGCAATCTTCCCTGTCATGTGGGGACACGAGGTTTGAGGTTTTGGGAGTATCCAGGTGAGAGATTGGACAGGGCTGATGGTGGTGGAGATGGAGAGAAGTGGGCAGATTTAAGAGCTATTTTAGAGGTAAAATTGACAGGACTTAGTGGTGGGATAGAAAGTGGAGGTCCCGAAGGAGTAGGAAGAGTTAAGTGTTTGCAAATACTTAGTGAATCCGTGCTGATAAGCCTGACTCGGTCCAGGGAGTTCTGCATCGTCCTCCTGGATTCTTCCTCAGTTGGAGAAATCTGTAGAGCTGCTTTGGGTGCTTAGAGGAGGTTGCTGAATCAATGTTCAAGATCAGAACATGAGCATTGTGTTGTCTGGTGGATACCCCTCTGTTCAGAGCCTCCTGAAGAAAATAACTGGGCTATGGTGGTGTTGCTTTGCTTAACTTTAGTAAAATATAATAATTATACTCAACCATGCGTGTACTTTATCTTCACTACAAAAAAGAGACCATTTTTAATCACAAGAGAAATTGCATAAAAGAGCCTAAACATTGGTTTACTTAGTCAGATAAGTGATACCTAATAATAGACCCATCATTATTTATTTATTTATTTTATCCTCACCTGAAGACATTTTTCCATTTTTTGTTCAGATAGAGTGGGAGGGAGAGAGAGAAAGAGAGAAACATCGACGTGAAAGGGACACATCGAGTGGCTGCCACCCGCATGACCAACCAGGGCCGGGGACAAACTGCAACCAAGGTACACGCTCTTAGTGGGAACTGAACCCAGGTCTCACTGGACTGAGGCCGACGCTCTAACCACTGAGCCAAACCAGCCAGGGCTAGACCCATCATTTATTGAGAACCTACTACATGCCAGCATTGGGCTAGGTATTTTACGTGCTTTATCTGCAGTCTTCCCAGTAATCCTTGAAGGAAGTACTATTGTCTTTAATCTCATTTTATAACTGGGAAAACTGAAATTATAGCTGAGAGGTTAAATCACTTACCCAAAGAGGCTAATAAGTGAAGGATTTGGAATCTGAACCTACATCTGTTTGAATTCCAGCCTCATGCTTTCTCCACTGTGACTTCTCCATGGTGGGGGAATCCATGGTGGGGGACACCCCTAGGACATTATCAGTTCTCCACAGTAAGTCTAACCATTTCAAAGCACTAAGGGAAAAACTCCTTTGGAGGACAAAATATATGTCTTCCTTGTTTAACAGAGAATTCTTAAATGATTATTTCCCAGTGAGGAAGGGCAATGTAACAATCACCCCACCACTATTTCTTTGAGTTTTTTAATTCTCTTACCAAGCATGGGCCTTAACAATCTTTGTTGCATTGGTATTCCCTTAAATCTTCAGCCCAAGGGTCAGTACAGCCTAGATAGGCTGATAATTTCAATAAGATCTTTATTTATTTATTTTTTCTGTATTGATTTTTAGAAAGAGAGGAAGGGAGAGTGAGAGAGAGAGAGAAACATTGATGAGAGAGAACATCGACTGGCCACCTCCTACATGCCTCTCACTGGGGATTGGGCCCACAACCTGGGCATGTGCCCAGACCGGGAATCGAACTGGTGACCTCTTGGTGCATGGGTCAACACTCAACCACCAGCCACACTGGCTGGGCCAATAAGATCTTTGTTAAATATAAAGGAAGAAGAAAAGGAGATGATCTGAGTGATGTCAGTCTATAGCACCTTGTGGGA